CTTTTTACATTCTATCTTATTCATCGTGATATATTGGGAAGTAAAATTTCATTTAAAGTAAAGGGATGTGCCAAGGAAACATTAGAATCTATGAGAAAGAGATGATCGGAGTTATGTACCTAAAAGAGGAAAAGGTATCGAGTCGTCTGAGATTGGTTAAAATAACGAAATAAAAATGGATTGTTTGAGTGCTTTTTCGAAAATATTTGCAGGATATATAGTTGCCGAACAGACAGGACATCGCACTCGTTTAGGAGTTTGTAGGTTAGGTAATCGAATGCCGAATTTACATAACGAAACTTTTGAAATTTATTTCACGAAAATAATTTCAATAAACATGTAAATAAAATTGATTGTCGTGTACGTCTTTAGTATCGCAGCAAACATGATATCGGTGGCATCTGAATTATGTTGCATAATAGATTGTTAATGTATACAAACTAAAAAAAGAATATCTCGAAAACATAGACTTTGGTGGATTCACGAATGGTTATCAAGAAAGCCTATTGATTCATCAAAGTTAATCTCTGATATAGGAAATGAAGATCTAAATAAAAATAAAAATTATTTTCGAATGAATGCAAACAGTTTTATTGAATGATCTCTCTCTCTCTCTCTCATCTGAGCGTTGTCCTGGTTGCGTCCTCAGCAGTGTTGCTGCGAAGCCCGGGGTCCGCTTTCCTGCTTTTTCTCCTCCACTTTGCACGGTCTTCGGCATCCTTAGTGGTGAGACCATTGGCACGCATATCACCCTTGGCGACGTCAAGCCAGCACTTCTTGGGTCTGCCCCTTCTACCGGGGCCCGGCAGAGGTGGCATAGCCAGACATTTGTTTCCCACGTAGCATGCCGGTTTCCGTAAGATGTGGCCGTACCAACGTAGGCGGCTTTCTTGCAGTTTATCTGCAATGTCACGGACGTGAAGGCTGCCGCGGATGCGGGAGTTTCTGATACGGTTTTTCCGTGAAACTCCACACATCCAGCGCAGCATCTTCATTTCCGTGACACGCAGCTCCTGCTTATGGCGCTCAAGTACGGGCCACGTTTCACTGCCATATAAAAGGACAGGCCTAATGATGGATTTATAGACCTGTCCTTTAAGCTTAACTATCTTGGGGTCACAAATGACACCAGTTTTATTGAATGATCTCCTACAAAATATCTAAACGAGATACAACTTGTCAAGAAGCATTACCTGCAAAAGTGAAGCTTCAAACTACACTATTTTTAGACTCACGAAACTATTTTGATGTTTTATTTGTTATAAATTATTTATGAAGAAGTTTTGATTGTGAATGTGAGCGGGTTTAAAAAAGAAGACATTGTCTGATTGGAATCGTGATGTTGCGTTTGACAATTTGTGTACACAATAATTTAATAATTATCAAACAAGACAGGTATCAAAATTTATCAACTTGCAAAATCTTTGTTACATAATCTGTTTATTCGATAAATATCGGAGTTAAAGGGCACGCCTCTTCACTAAAATTAAGAAATGAAAGATTCCAGGGGGCCTACTATGAGCTCTTATAGCAATCCTATACGCCTGTAAGTTGGATTACCCTCACAAAAACTCACAAAAACAATTCACTGTCCATGCAGCTTACGTTCCCCATTCGAAATCCTTTCACCTTTTCTTTCATAGCAAATGACTGTCCCATCTGTAAAAATAAGTAATTCTAAAAGTTACTCCGTGACTAACTTTTTTTATATTTTGTTACATTTTTAAGAAATTTCGTTTAAGAGGGAGCAGAGGAAAAATTCCTAATCTTCGATTTGATTTTAGAGGGGTATATCTACTTTAAAGTTAAAAATAAAATATTGTATGAGTAACTACACGATATATTCAAGCATAGACATTAATCAGAAACATAAAACAATAAAGTTTTCTCGATAGATATAAATCACGAAATGACCTCTAATTTTCACATTTTTTCGATTCATACTCGAAATGCTACAGGTTATTAGGACAAAAATTAGATAATTAATTATATTCATGCATGATCGACAACTGTCACTACGGATTTTTTTTAATCCCTTTAGTTTTAAAGTTATTCCACTAAAACGAATTTGGTACTTTTAATGCGCAAATTCAACATCTCCTGTCGCATGTCACGCGAACTTCAGGCATATATTTGTTTCACAAATTTGGGCGGAGCCAACGTCAAAACTTTTTTGGCATCTCTCGCCAGGACTGGTAGCTGTAAAGGTACTAACTGGGTGATAAATCTGTCATAGATTTCTCATAGATGGCGCTACGACTAAAAAGTCGTTGAAAGACCAAGTACAAAGACACGACGGAAGCACATAGAAAAATTCGTGAAGTCCGTTGGTTCGTTCCGTAGCTTAGTTGGTATAGCGTCTGGCACGGTATGCAAGAAGACGCCGGTTCGAATCCGACCGGATCGAAGGAATTTTTTCTGAGTGTTCGATCTTTGTGTTAATAATTATTGCAAACTTACTTATTTAACATTTAATTACCGATGAAATGTGATTCCATTTGTTTTGTAATTAGATGTTTTGCTGTTTTTCCCACACCATCGAATAGAACAGCACGGCATTGTTAGAGATATTATCTTTATTACAATAAATACAGAATATTTTTTTGAATATACGGAGACGTACGCACAGGTCAGTAGTTGGCCTGTCTATATTTCAGTGCACACGGGAGTTGATAATTTATAAGAGCTGCATCGCTAATGTGTTACCAGGAATATATGGACCTTATTTAGTCTCTATTTCTGGTTATATACCCGATACTAGAAATAGAGACGAAATGTCATTTAATTTGTTTGAAAACTATTCTGCCCTATAATTACTGTGATAACTGTCAGCCGGATTTCGTAACAATTGACGGGTGTCGTCAATTTGACTTGTTAGTTTCACTTCAAATCGACCAGTTAACTTGAGCTTTGTTATGATGAATGAAAATTGCAGGTAGCTGTTTTGCTGTTTTTCCCCACACCACCGAATGGAATAGCACCGCATTGTTAGAGATATTATCTTTATTACAATAAATATAGAATATTTTTGGAATATAGACCAGGAATTTATGGCCTCTATTTCTAGTTATGTACTCGATGCAGTTTTTTAAACGAAATATTTATATGAAAAAAATATATCTTAATCTGCAAACATTGTTCTAAAATAATCGATAATCTAGATAATAACAATAGATACTGGGTAATTCCTAATTTGCGACTAAGTAACACCGATTTGGTGAATTTGAAACCGTGTGCAGAGGGAAAAAATAAATTATGATAATAAAGTCATTTACTTATCTCAACACATTAATAAATCAATTGTGAACTGTTTTTTATGACATCAAATGACGAGACGGGCAAGGCAGTCTCCTGATGGCAAGCGACGCGCCTGTTCGTAGCATTTCAGTGCAACTCAGAGCTTTTCTGCCTTCGGAAGAAAGAAAAGCACAAGTAGCAAACTATAAATTCTGAGAAAAATGTGTGTAGGTACTTAAATTTTTTTAGTTTTTTCTGACAAAAAGAATAGTTAAGATAAGTAAAAATGTATATTCAGTAGCTTATTTATATTATAAATACATACCACATTGTTTATACAGAAACTATCATTGTATTTTAGTCAGCCGCTTTTAAAAAATACCTTAATTTTCTGTTTTAAGTTAGTAGAAAAAATAAATAAAAATATTTAAATTATATATGCCCTTTATATTCGGTTCCCATGTGACTTTTAATACTTGACTCACAAATTTGCTTTTTTTGTTATTAATATATTGTATATGAACTACGTAATAAGGACACAGTTCTATAATACATTACTAAATAAAATCCTTTGATTGATATAAGCGTTTTTAACGTATTAAATAAAAGTGACATATGACTTTTTACAGGAAAATAATCTCATTTGAAATCAATTATGCCCTTTGAGCTTGCTGTATATATTCAACAATTACATAATGAGATATATTTCCACAAAGAAATAGTAACATTGGCCTTTAATTCCTGATCCCAAATATGTATGCAACCTTAGAATACTAACGCATAGAATGATAGTTTCATATCAAACGAACTGTCACAAGTGAGGCAAAAATCAAATTCATGTAGGCTAGTTTTAGTAGTAGGTTAAGTTTCGGTTTTAGTGAATATTTATATAAAAATACAAGTTGAAACGCGTTACTTCCTTGTGGAATGTGATGTTAGTATCTATTTTATGTTTGTCTGACGTATTTTTACACTCATTTACCGCACATTTAGTCATTTTTAGCTAAAATTCTGGAGCTGTTCGCGGTGCAAGTTGACCTTGAGCACTAAAGCCCCGCCCGCTCGTGTAGGCCCTTTTGGCGCGCTTCAATTTGCCTCACTTAGCGTGCGCGGACTAGGTTTCTATGCGTTATTATTCTAAAGTTGTGCCCTTTTTGTTCCGAGGGCAATTTTTAACTGCGAAGACCTATGGGGCACTGTCACCGCGCCTTTTATTTTTTTTCCCATCCTCTAGCGCCCATCAAATAAATTAAATATATGAAAACTTCTTTTATTTTAAATTTTGAGCTCTTACCTACTAAACAATATGCATATAATATGAAGAATAGGCCACATACGTAATTATGTCCAATGGTGTACTATGGTTTAATAATTACGTTTGTTGTAAGTGTCATCTAGTATAAAGTAGTTGTATCACCACGCTATTTTTGTAGCTAGTTTTCACTCGTGACATCTAGTGTTGAGTAGGCGTACCTCTTGTAACGTAACGAAATAACAAGGACGAGACTTTTCGCTCTATATTCAATATTTAATTAATGTTAAATATATAGCTTAATTAAATTTTAAAATTATAACTTTTAATTTGCAGAAATATATATTTCTAAACGAAAAGAAAGTGACCCAAAATACACGTCACATGTTCTGTCAAAAATGTCAAAATTTAATGTGTCATGTCACGTAATATTTTGGTTGCACCAGTGCTAAATGTGTGAAAAACATAAGAAATAAGCATTAAGCGTTTGTAACTGTGCTAGAAAACTGATTTGCGGTCAACGACAATGCGTTGGTACGGCGGGAGTATAGCGGAGGCGGTGACTTTATCAAAACAGAAGAATGCGATTTTTGTCGTCTTCGTTGAAGGTAAACACAGCCTTAAATATACGTTACAAAACATTATTCACCTTCCCATGTGTTGTTGTCCTCTTTTAAAGCCATTTAAACAAATATATAACTTCAATAACTATTAAAAACGATTGAAATAATGATTGCGGCATATATTTACATTTCCGACAATGTTTAAGAGATCGTGTGAAAATGACGTCATACATAGCGTGTAACGACACCGATTTGTGTTAATGCACCGAATTGTATAAAGTAAGAATCACTTTTAAACGTATATTTTCTCGTCGGAAGCATTGAATACCGCATAAACATACTAATCGATTTTAGGAATGAGTCAGTTGTTTTGTAGCTATTGTCTGTAGATAGCGTATAAAGCACGGAAGGTACTTTAAGGGTAATTTTCAAGATAGTTTTCTCTACCTAATTTTGGTGGCAATTTTTATTGAAATTGGAAACATATTGAGTACTGCCATAAGCATATTTCTGTAGATAGTGTATACAGCATGGAGGAAAAGTATTTTAAACTTAATTAAGTTTGTTGAATATCACTATGTTTAACTACCACAATATTAATTTTTTTTGTATATAAAGTATCTCAGGGTCGCATTCCAGAACTCTACTCAATCCTCAAGACAGGACTTGAGTATTGCAGTGAGCACTGAAAATCATACTCAAGTCCTTGCCATTAGGGTCGTATTTCCAGTGCTTGAAATCATACTCAAGTCTGCTCAAGTCCTGACTTGAGCATTGAGTAGAGTTCTGGAATACGACCCTTACTGGCATTGTGTCAGTCATCAAACACTCATTTGAAGTTGATGATTTTGTAAATAATTCAATATGAGAAAGGGAATCTATGCAAAACAGACTATCATACAAAAAAGTTTGCAAACCTCTGGTTGAATCATACATTTTAATAGTAAAAAAATTAAAGATTATTGTGAGATTTAAAAACTTTGTAAATATAATATAAATAATCTGATATTAAACATTGTATGTAAAAACATTCCATGCCATTTGGGTGGAACTGTTTATAATTGCGTCCTTACCGCCCTTGGAACACAGGGTGCCATTACATTATTATTATTGTTCAGTTCAACATTTCTTTCTGTATTTTCTTTCTTTATTTTATGTTGTAACATTTACAAACCAGATGTTTTTCATAATTCTGCATACAACAGATTTGTTACGACATATAGATACGAGAATGTTCTTTTTTCTGAACCTTGAAAGCGACCCTTCAGAATACTTTGAAATGTACTGCAAAGGACTGAAAATTTTCAGCTTATTTTCAATCTGCCATTTTGATTTATTTTTCCAAAATAAATAAATAAATAATGCACGCACTCAACATAGACCTGCACTAGGGAAACCCTGTGTCGCAGGTGCCTTGGGCACACACATAGGCAATCACAAATTGCAAAATGGCGGCCTCATATGAAACCTATACTTTGCGCAATGCAAAGATCAATATCAGGTTTGTAGCTGAATACTGCTGTAGGTGGACCTTGTTGATTGTAAAATAATTTTTTTTTTTTGTATGATTACTTTATTTGCAATCGGCCGCCAGGCCATAAGCGAATCTTTTGAACGAGAAAAGACGTTTTTGGTGGAGCGGCCAGTGCCGCATCTCCCAACTATAGAACATGGCCTCGCTTAAGCCGTTTGACCATAGTTGATGGATCTAGAAGTTCCGCGATGAGTGGGTTCGGGTGGCAGGATAGTCGCTCTTTGTGCTTAGTTTTATGTCGGTCGATCTCAGCAGCTACCGATATGACGTTTAGATGACCATGGATCTCTTCATTACGAGTGAACCAAGGGGCATTGACTATTGTCCTCAAGATACAATTCTGCACTCGTTGGAGACAAAGTATATTACTCTTGCTAGCCACACCCCACAGCTGAATACCGTATGTCCAAATGGGTTTTAAGACCGAGTTGTAGATTAGAAGTTTGTTGTCTACTGATAATGCTGAATTTCTTCCCATGAGCCAATGAAGGTTACGATATTTGAGATTGACTTCATCTCTTTTTCGTTTTATGTGATGCTTCCATGTGAGATGTCTGTCCAAGTGAAAACCGAGGTACTTCACACAATCAGAATGTGGTAATATTTCGTTACCAAGTCTTACTGGATTACAGTTTCCTTTTCTCAGTGCAAATGTGATATGATGCGATTTGGTGGAAATAATATTTAAAAACAAATTCATAGATTTACTTTGACTTCAAAACAGCCTCAGTGGCAGAATGTTTACCATGTTGGACTGCCATCCAGAGAAATATTTGTATGGCCTTAATTTATTTCTCTCGCGAGTTTGGATGTAATTTGTGCTTGTCTATGGCACCTATATGTAAAAAAAATAATTATGAAATTAAATCTTTAAATCCTAATGTAGATATATCTTGAAAACGTGACACAACAGATTTTTCATATAACTGTTCTTGTTTTTTATTGATGTTAGCAATCTATATTGTAAGTTGTATGCATGACTGCTTGAAAAAAAATTCAAAATGGCGTGTAAGAGGCAACCAAGATCTCGTAGTGTATAGTTGAAGATCTAACTTTTTTTTTATAATATTGCTCGGGAACCTTAGTGGTGTTATGTTTTGAGTTATGACAAGCGTGCCAAGAGTCTTGTAGGTACTCGGTATTAGTAGAGTCGAAGCTGCAGAGCCTTGAACACCGCTGTAAAGTTGCCTGCTTATGGGTATTCTGCAGAATATATCACGGAGAGTGCACGAGGGAATTGCACAATTATTTCCCCTTTTCATCATCGGGGGACCAGACGTAGGCTGGGGTTCCACCTCTATATTGTGGATAATCCAAAGATTCGCATGAAGCGTTACGCGTCCACATTTATATGGCGAAAGGCTATGGAGTGGAATTCCCTGCCTGCAGACTTGTTCCCTAAACGGTATAACTTGGCCTTTTTCAAGGCGAGAGTGAGTAAGTAAGTCGACGGTTGAGCATCGTCAACTTTATAATAACTTTCCTTCGGGTGAGATGGAAGTCAAAAGCGTCCTTATTCAAAAAACAAAGTTTTCAACACATCTTACAACCTGTTAATTATTGTTTCAGGTGACAATGACCTTTCTGTGGAGATGGCTGCGATAATCGACAGCGCCGAGGTGATCACCCGCCTTGCAAACGAGAGCAACTTTCTGGCTGTCAAGCTTAAAAGTGGATCACCCAATTACACTCATTTCGCGCAAATTTGTATCCTTTACAATAGAACAGTGGGTATGTCGACAGATGTATACATATACATCGCAAGCTGATGGCATAATTAGGTATGTGTGTTATTGCTTATAGGTAAGTTGTGAACGGTCGAATTACAGCTCGGGACTCCATAATTCAATATAATACCAATAGATGGCGCCTCTAAATGTACCATGAAACTTTTGAATGTTCGTGGCAGGGCTCCGTCTTTCCCTCGAGGTTACGCGATAAATGCCTTCCGCCGAGTGTATCGCCGACAATGCAAATGCTCAGACAAATCTTTCATTTACATTACAATCCTTGTACACCAGCATGTGGTTCCGCACAACTAAACTCGGCGGGCAACGTTATTTTCACCTCTCTGAGCGTGTGTTTAGGTTCTTTTTTCCTCGTAGTAAGCGCCTAGTGTCATTAGTCAGATTTACAATCGTCACTTAATAACAGGCACCTTTTGACACCTGTCATCGCGACGTAAATAGGGATGTAGACTAAAAGTATCGGTAATATATTAGACGATTCTCACGAGAAATCGTTTCGAAATTTCTGACCCTGTGATCGATTAGATTATTTTTCGGATCGTTGATTTTCAGTTCTAGATAGCACAATTAACATTTATTTTAGTAATATAAGCTTAATATATTAATAAGTAACTATTTTAAATGATCATAATGACAACCTGTAGCTGTTATTGTATTGTGGTTACATTAACAGAGTTCACAAAGACAATTTACAACACTATCCTCGATACCTATTAAATACTCCAGGACTACTACTTGTTTTATTATAAATTGGAAGCATCGAGTATATAACCAGGAATAGATACGAAATGTCAATTTAATTTATTTGAAAACTATTCTGCCAAATCATTACTGTGATAACTGCGCTCCGATTGGCCAGCCCGAATTCGAAACAATTGACATCGATTGGGGGTCATCAATTGTTTCACTTAAATGGTCCAGTTTAACTTGAGCTTTGCTGTAATGGACGAAAATTGCAAAATTACATATTTAATAATTAATTAACAATGAAATGTGATTCCGTTTGTTTTGAAATTAGATGTTTTGCTGTTTTTCCCACACCGCCGAATGGAACAGCCCCTTTGTTAGGAATATTATCTTTATTACAATAAATACAGAATATTTTTGGAATATACGGAGACGTAAACACAGGTCAGTTGTAGGCGCTGTACTATTTCAGCTTTCTAATTTGTGATTTCAGCGCAAACGAGAGTTGATATTTAAAAGTGATATAAGGACCATTTACCTGCTGAGTTGCCAGGGATGGATGGCCATTATTTCGTCTCTATTTCTGGTTATATACTCGATGATTGTTGTACAGTACAATACTATAGTTATGTGAGTCCCTCCGTGTGTGCGTGTGTGCGTGATACGCGAGTCAGTTTTAAATTAATTAATTTAAGCTCACTGTAAAGAGCATAACTATATTTTAAATACTATTACATACTTTTGTTCCCAATAATAACCCTAACTATATTGAATAGATCAATTTGTGCCAGTGCCATCCCTATTCTTCATAGGCCGCAATGGCACTCCATTGGAAGTTGTCTGCGCTGGAGTGCAACCGGATAACCTCGCTACCAGGATAGATCGCATTCTTGAGGAGCATCGTAAGTAATATAACAGAGATATAAAGAGACCAGGGAAAGAATGATCAAAGTCGCCTACCATATTTTGAGTTAATGCTGCCAAATAATTCTTTGAATGCTAGGCGCTCTTAGCCTAAATCTGAAAACGACTGTCGTGTCTAGCTGTTCCCATTGTCACGACAGTCTGTCGTCGTGATGTCAAAAATCTCGTGAACGACATTTGATCGTGTTGTTCTATGTGTGAAGAGCTTTGTTTAAATATATTAGCCACGACACTGTCTCGATACTCCAATGAACACTAAGCTTCGCATCTACTAATTCCGAGTCACCTGCCTTCATTTCCCTAGTTCGTTCATCCGGAACTCCTAAATCTCCTACCTGGCATTGGCCCACAATGCAAACGTAGCATTCGGGACACACAGTTCCCGGTAGTGTAAGCATGAGAAAGAAGGTATCGTCTCCCGAGTATCTGAAAGAGCGTTTCTGCTTTATCAGGTCTCCAGGACAAACAATGTCGCTCTCTCGTTAGGTCCCAGTTATATTTTCCTTCTTTCAATTCAGGTTTTTATTCTCACTTACTGTTCATCGGTTCGCCCCCGCGTATGTGAAGTTATTTTAGTTTCGCCTCGTGTAACTGAACACTTAAAGAGCTTTATTAATCTACTGTTTCCGCCATTTTATAGGTATAATGTTTTGAAAATGTTATCTAGTTTATAATACTTGAATGTTATTAATATTGCATTACATAATTTTGATTTTTTTTTTTTGTTCACGTAAACGCGTTATTATAGTTATTTTGTCCCGTATTCAGTCTGCAGGAAGAAATTTCTTATAGAAATAATATGAAATGTATTCTGTGCTTTTTCGTGTGCAATAAATAATAATAAAAAAGGAATCAAAGCAACAAATTATTTTTTTTTCGCAGAAAAAGACAAAGCGGCAGGCGCGGCGTCCTCCCCAGTACAGCCGTCCACATCGTCGCAGAACATCCGTCAGCAAACTGCCGATTTGCTGCATGCCGAGGGGTCCACGGTGCAGCTGCCGTCCAAGGAGGTTGACAAACCCGCTGAACAAACAGGTAAGGAAAACAGCAGTTTAACTAAGCTCTTACTAGGTCATACTTCAACGGACAAATTAAATTGTCAACAATGCAATTAATTTTTATTTATTTATTTTTCAAAAAGTACACATTTTACAGAATTCTATCTCCCGCTAAACTGGAAACAGTATGTTGGCGAGCACGCTTTTACACAATTATAGATCTACTTAATGATTAACTAAGTATCTAGCAGTGAGTAGGTACTTCTCATGTAGGTCAGACTTATTAAACAAAACAAATACAATGATATAATAAGAATTTCAAGTTCATCCTTAATAATTTTTCAAACTTTTTTTATTTGAAATTTCACTCAGTAGCGCCTTTTTTATTTTAACGGATGCAGAAAGAGATATGTAGATGTCGGAGCGGTTCTTAGCCTTATAGTTAATTAAACAGACTCTGACTAGATAGACTAGATTTCTCACAGATAGTGCTACGGTAAAAAAGTCGGTAAATATAAAAATGAAAAGATCTGCTACGAGCACATAGAAAAAATCGAAGGTCTGCTGGTTCGTTCCGTAGGTCAGTTGAAGACGCCTTCGAACCTTTTTTTTAACCGACTTCAAAAAAGGAGGAGGTTCTCAATTCGACTGTATGTTTTTTTTTTGTATGTATGTTACGTGATAACTCCGGTATTTGTGAACCGATTTTCATGATTCTTTTTTGTTGGAAAGGGGGTACTTCCATAGTGGTCCCATTTCATTTTGAAGGAAATCATCCACCTCTAAAGGTGGCTGTTCACGCATGAAGAATAATTTTTATAAATAGCGCCTAACTTTAATTTAGGAGCAATTACTTTTAGCAATTATTTAGTTGATTTTGCTATTTCTCCAATTCAAGGCGTCGTAGTGAGAACCTATTTTTATTATCTCCAGTAACAAGTCCTGTATAGTGGCGAACTAGGGGATATTTCAATGAAACTTAGCAAATAGACGTAATTCCACGTACTTTTGGGGTCGGTTTTTTTAGTACTCTGTACTGAGATTATTATAATATCAAGTGACGGAACGAACAAGTCGTGCGCCTGAGGGTAAGCTGCACGCCTGTCCATAACAGTTGCAGTGCCACTCATAGCTTCAAATCGCAAAGATCGGTGGCACTGCCACTGCGCCCGTCACCCTGAGACATAAGTTGACAAGTCCCATGTGCCTGTAATTTCACCAACACCCTTACCCTTCAAAACCGGAACACAGTAATGCTGACGTTACTGCTTGGTGGCAGTACTTCACTGGACGAACTCTTTCACAAGGAGCTCTATATAACCACACCAATTACCTAGTCTCCAACTCAGGAAATTCCTCGTACTATGAGTAAAAGCTACCCCGTACACCTAGGCCAGAACCAACTTAGAAAAATTCGTATACACGGCGTCTCACGGCCATGCCACACGGAGGAGTACCTTCAATACCAGACACACTGAAGGTATTTTTTTTAATATTCGATCTTTGTATTAAAATTATATCTTCTTGTACAAAATACCACAGTGTGTCAAGACCAAAGTCTTCGACCAGTGTATAGTGCGTAGTCGCTCACCATGGACCTCATAAGAAGGTTGAAAACGTCATTTTCAAGCTACTGCTCGTTCACTGTGCTGACTTCCCTGAGAAGAACGAGCAAGAAAATCTAGCGATTGCTCTTTTCAAATAAACTTAAATGCTATGGAATACACTTTAAATCATAATTGTGTGGAATCAAGACTCATATTGTCTTTCCATACATCTTTATCTAACAAATACTCTTCAATTTTGTAATATGACTTTTCAATTAAAATACTTTTAATGTAAATTTTAAACTTAGGGAATGATAATCTTAATATATTCTCCGGAATCTTATTGTAAAAACGTATACAGTTCCCCATAAAAGAATCGTTTACCTTAGTTAAACGAAAACGTGGTACCATGAGTTTGGACTTAGTTCTAAGGTTAATATTATGGACAATGGAAAGGACTATGCTCGGAGTTGCATTGCGAGATCGAATCAGTAATGAGGATATCCGCAAGGGAACCAGAGTAACCGACATAGCCCTAAGAGTTGCAAAACTTAAGTAGCAGTGGGCAGAGCGCATTGCTAGCAGAACAGAGACCGTGTACCGGAAAGACGCGGCGTGGGCACACCACCCACAAGGTGGACTGATAATCTGCTGAAGACTGCGAGAATCCACTGGATGCGAGCGGCGCAGGTCGCTGTGACATTCTTTGGGGGAGGGGGGATGCCTTTTGGCTGAAAAGATAATGATGTTTAAAATTATAACGAACTACTGGAGTAATTTCCACCTATAGCTTCAGAGAAATCATACACGAGCATTAAACAAACGAACAATAAGCAGTATTTCTTAACATCATGCATTTATGTAAATATAACAACCCAATACCTGCGTTAATCATAAATTATTCAATAAAATTAGGTAAATAGGATGTCCGTGAACTTACGCTTTAGCGCATCAACATTCCAATTGAATATATCAATATTCAGATCATGATTGCTCAGTACACTATCCAAGCTCTTGCTAGCTCTACATAGGAAACTATTTTGTCTATAGTTAGTCCTCGCTAAGGGAACTGTATAAGATAATAGTGTCTCATAGAACGAGTAGGAACAATAATCTCAGTACAGAGTACTAAAAAAACCGACCTCAAAAGTACGTGGAATTACGTCTATTTGCTAAGTTTCATTGAAATATCCCCTAGTTCGCCACTATACAGGACTTGACACTGAAGATAATAAAAATAGGTTCTCACTACGACACTATTCAAAGTATATCGAGAGAAAAACGCCTTGAATTGGAGAAATAGCAAAATCAACTAAATAATTGCTAAAAGTAATTGCTCCTAAATTAAAGTTAGGCGCTATTTATAGAAATGAATCTTCATGCGTGAACAGCCACTCTTTGAGGTGGATGATTTTCTTCAAAGTGAAATGGGACCACTATGGAAGTACCCCCTTTCCAATAAAAAAAGAATCATGAAAATCGGTTCACAAATACCGGAGTTATCGCGTAACATACATACAAAAAAAAAGAAAAAAAAACATACAGTCGAATTGAGAACCTCCTCCTTTTTTGAAGTCGGTTAAAAACGAAATATCACCCAATAAGTCAAAGCAGTGATTATTACCGTTAATAATGTTTAGAATATTACGCAATATCAAAGATTTTTAGGCGAATATTTAGAGGTAATAGATTCAGATCCTTACAGAGACTTGGGTAGTCGCATGAATGATAAGACTTACTTATTTCATAGCATAAGAATTTAGTAAATTTATTTTGGACTCGTTCAATTCTGTCTATATAGACTTGGTATCTCGGACCCCAGATTTGGGAAGCGTATTCCGACTTACTACGAACATATGCACAATATAATATTCGTAAAGTTCTTGGCCTGTCATCATGGTAGTATAACATTGTGAAATTCAATGAGCTTCATATTATGATTATTAAAGAGACATCTCTAGTCAGCCGTATCTCTAGTCACATAAGTATTTAGCGGCACGGACCCTGGACGAACTCTTCCACAAGAAACTCTACTGCTACTAAAACTGTGCGCTTGAGTGACGCTGTGGCAGTGCCCGTCAGATCTTTGCGATTTAGAGTAACACTGCAGGAGACTAAGGACTTGTTTATCCCTTTTCCCTAATATCTCCTTCTTCCGCTATCCCTTCGTCTAAGCGTACCTAATTCCTTCCTAGAGCCCACCATATATGTGTTTGGCGGAAACCAGTCTCCGTACGTCGAAAACACCGAAGAACTTCAGCTCAAGGGCCAAACATCACCAACGCCTGAAACTCTGAAGCACAAGTCTGAACAACCAGGTAGAAAAATTAGAATATTTTTACTAAGAGCAACCTAACCTTTAACCTTTTTCTAGTCATGGACCCGTCTCAAACATTCAAAGAGTCCACGGACCGAAAAGATGAAGAAGGAGAAAGGCTAACGGATTTGTATTGAGGCGCATCTCGCTCATGCAATAATGGATGTCGAAGGGCGCGAAAAATCAAAATTAGGGTCTTTACAATCCCAACATTTTTTCCGACCAAACGGGTGGTCATCACGTGTCATCTGAAGCGAATTAGATACGTCCACAGATGGGCAGTGGGTTAAAACTCAATCAATCCAACCGGGTTTTAACCCATGTCTGCCCAATTTGGTGGGAAATGTCGACGCGTCCTTGTTTGTTATACTTTAAAATATCATTTGCAATAAAAAAAAGCGGCCATGCGGTCATGGCTCGATATAACCGACACGTGCTGCGTCTCTCTACGAGTTGTTCCTTGTTGCCGAACAAAAAAGTGGTGCTACAGTGGAGCTAGTAGAGAACAAACTAATGGAGTAATTTCAGAAAAAATAATTTAAGATCAATTCAATACAAATTTAATTTAAATTAATAACGACACTCTAGCCAGGGCTGGTAGCTGTAAAGTTACCTAACTGGGTGACGAAATACTTTCATAGATTTCTCATAGATCGCCATCTACGGCTAAAAAGTCATTGAAAACCAAATACAAAGACCCGACAAACAAGCACAGAAAAATTTGTGAGGTCCACTGGTTCGTTCCGTGGCTTAGCTGGCATTGTGTCTCACACGGTTTGCTAGAAGACGTCGTTTCGAATCCAGCCCGATCGACGGAAATTTCTTTCGAAAAAATCTTTGAAATGAAAGAATATATTTCAGGCAGTAGTTATAATTACTAGTCCATATAGTGTTAGTAGGCACTTACAACTATGTTATTATAATGCGAAGTGTTCATTTTCATGAACAAAACTGGACATCCAATACTTAAGGATTATGCTGTCCATCCGCTCTGCTACCACTGTAAGAAGACTGTTGGTGCTGCCTATCACTCTAGCCAACAGGGATGCCACTCTCTTGCGAACGACTGCCTGAAACCATCAATCCTAGTCTCCGCGAACATCCCTGAGGCAATACAGAGTCGAGGCAGCGCCAGCAGTCCCCTGAGGGCGTTGTTGAATTGGTTGAATTTTTTAGTGTAATTGTTCCATAGGTTGCACAAGTATAAGAACTGGCAATATGTTTTGAAATGGGGGATTTTAACCTCTTATGAGCACCGTGCAAACCTGTAGAGCAGCATATCGACCCCTCCTACGTAAAGTATCGTATGTCGAAATTGCCAAGTTTACAGGGAAGCGTTTTAAAGTTTCACTGCAATGAGCATAATACGTGACTTTAGCATTTCTCAGTTTTATTCGGCAAAGCTCGTTACTCACATAGAGTATTGTAAAATCCTAGATGTCGGTTAGATGATCACTCTATGTCAGTAATGAGGTTTTGCCAAATAAAACGGACAACTTTGAAACGCTCCCCTGTAAACTTGGCAATTTCGACATACGATACTTTACGTAGGAGGGCTCGATATTACACCTTACCCCCAACGGCCTGCGTTCCCTCTCCATGGCAACGTCGTCTGTTAAATTTTCCGTAACCCAGTGACTCATATACTTAAAGTTGGTAGCCCTGGATAGGTTTTGGTACCTGATTTAAACGCCAACAGTTCACTCTTTTTAACATTGTATATAAGCCCATGGGCCGACCACACTTTAGACCACTGATTGACGGGCTCAGCAGCACAAACTTTGTATTAATAATTATAACAAAACTGTTCAACCTCATCCCCCCTTCACCGTTCCTGCTCAGAAGCACGCGTGCTGGCCTTCGTAGTCACCGTTTCACTACCTGCCGAATTCCATCGCGTACTAAAAGGTTCGGTGGCTCCTTTCTCTGCCGCACGGTTGACAAATGGAACTCCCTTCAGGCACATGTCTTCCCTCTCTCTTATGATATGGGGTCCTTCAAACGAGGCGTGAAGAGGCATATTGTAGGCAGGCAGGGTGGAGGTGGCTAGTGCAGTGAAGATTTCATCGCTGCACTAGGTTCCTTCGCGTTTGGATACCACTTTCCACTTAACATCAGGTGGAGTGGAGTCATTTGCCTGTCATGTATATAAAAAAAAAAAAAAAAAATGGAGCAATTTCACATACACACACAACAATAATTGAATATCGTGGTGGTCAAACAAATAAATACTTGTTAATTGAGAATACTTTCGTGTGTAAACAACTATACATGAGAACTTTCTTGTTCTAGAACGTTCTTCCAGTCCTCCAGCTAAGATTCAGAAAGTGGAATTTCACGAAGTAACAAGGTCAGGGAAGGAATACGAGGTCGTGTGCGACGATGATGTCTGTGTGAGGAAGCTGAAAGTTAGACCTGGTGACCCTGGGCCCAGTAGTGCCAATTTGACTACTGCCACGCCTATAGAGCCAGTGAAAGCCGTGCCGATTGACGAGAGTTCCGCACAAGTAAGTATTTAGACTTTAGAAGACACTTGACCGTATTTTTAAGTCACTTGTTGCGGAGTATTGCTGGACGAATATGAGTTCTATTATACGAGTCAGGCATTCTCCATACCCGCCGAGGTATATATTGTGCTTTTCTCAAACAGTTTTTTTTTAACGCTAATAACCCCGCACTGAGGAAATCCTGTGTCGCCGTTGCCATGAACACACGTAGACAACCACAAATTACACCCAAACTCACGAGAGAAATAAATGTAGGCCATAGAAGTATTTCTCCCGACCCGGAAATCGAACCCGGGACCTCTGCATAGCAAATTGGCATGGTAACCATTCGGAACAATGCGACGTAATGATAATAGACTAAAAAATTAAGGAGAATATATAATAGAAAATATAAAACATAATAGATTCGATGACAAACTTTGCTCCTTTTTTTAAATTATGCGGAGTAGAGTCCATTCTTATTTTCACTTTTCTCACTAGATCTCATTTTCGCGACGAATATTTAAAAAATACGAAACAGAAATATTGGAAAACCCTTTATTGTACCGCTTTTTTTTTAATTGTGTGGTGCAGGTATATTCGTGCACCATAATTAAACGCAAAGCAAGTAATAGCATAGACAATTTTTTTTTGCTTCACGCAATGACGGACACCAATGCTAGTGAACGGCTGTATGTATGACAGTTTTCCTTTTAGTCGGTTTACATTTCTTTCTGTCCTTTGTTAAAAGTAGGTTCATTTTTTTTTAAAGTAGCATTGTATTTACTTGTTTCTTGTAATTAGTTTGTTTATATTTTTGTTTTTTTATTACCTACTTTGTTGTTTCGTTAACTTTTTTCTGAATTTCAGTAGTTAATAATTATTTTGGTGTCTTTTGTGGTAACGTATTTTTTTATCTTTTAATTTTCGTTATTTCTAACCCCGCAGCCCGAAACGAGAGATAGTGTAGCTGAAATGCAAGAGAAAATGGAGCGGGCCAAAGAATTGATCGAAGTCAGGAGACGGGAGAAAGCAGATAAGGAGAAAGAGGTGATTAATTAAGATTCATCTTAAAGTTTCTCATATATACTTGGAAGATTCACAAAGTGGCCGATTCTAGTCCGCAAGGGGTCCTTGAGAGCGGAAAAACAATTTGGGTTCATGCGACATAAATAAAATTGTTGTTTACGATGTTATACTCCGTCCTACCATTTAACTTTTGACGGAGGTTTTTAAAAAGGCAATTTGTGTCCTTTTATAAGATTTCATTAATGAAAGTATTACACAGGTTTGCCTTAAACTAATTATACTAATTGACCGATTCTCGATTCTCTAAAAGTTACACGAATGAACCTTAATTTCGACACTGCACTTTTGGGAATTTTACTAATGATTCACTGGTCTTTCACAATCTCTGTTGGTACGCGGCGTCATTGTGAAGGGTTAGCACCTTAGACTATGGAAACTAAAGTACATGTTATGTTGACATATATAAGTCAATGTCATTATTGTTACAATCTAAGGGCTGTCTGAGTTACCGAACAAAATTTTCTGTATATTGTTTAACACACCCTCCATTACGTTTTAAACTTAATGTAGCGTAAATTGGAATATTTTCTTTGTAAAATTAAAAATAAGGTATTTAATTAATAATTATTGTAACTATAGTGAAAAAATAGGGTGGTTTGCATCAATATTAGACATAACTGGTTGAAGACTGTACCACCTCAGTCAACCTAACCATAGGACCTGTAAAGGGCCCGAAACGTCGGTTTGTTTGAAAAAACAAATATACGCTATTTAAATCCGGAGAAACAGTTTCATTTCCTATTAGTTTAGTCAAGTTTTTGAATATTTTAACGTTTAAGTGTTGCTGCTTTTTGGACTTTTTTTGGTGTCGCAGTGTTGCTGATAATTATTTAAACATGTCTACCGCACTTTTCTTTTATATCAATTTTAAAAAAATGCATGTCACAATATATTTTTTTATTCTTCTGCTAGGCTCTTTATTTCAAGCTTATATTTTGCAAGAAAGTTAAGGCTGGATTTTTATGGGAATAAAGTACCAAATTCCATATTAATTCGGTACAAGTCTTCACTGTTGAGCGAGATTAAATTTTTAAGTTAAATTTCATCCAAATCTAAGAAAATAAGTTCTATATTACCTCAAACAGTGAAACCGTTACATCAAACTTCGATCAATTAAAAAATAGTTTACACCGTAATACTTTTTATTTCTAGTTAGAGAAAGAGAAGGAGCTGGAACGTCGTGCAGCAGGCCAGGGTGTGGCTGAACTGAAAAGGTGGCAAGCCGATCAGGAACTTAAGCAGATACAGGTAAGTTGTCAAATATATCATACTGTGAACCCCTCAAAAGGTTAGACCACGAGTCTCCTTCGAGGAGACCATGGCGGGGTGTGAACATGGAGTATATAACCAGAAATAGAGATGAAATGTCATTTAATTTGTTTGAAAACTATTCTGCCAAATCATTACGGTGACAACTGCGCCCCGATTGGCCAGTCCGAATTTGAAACAATTGACGGGTGTTGTCAATTGTTTCAATTCAAATCGACCACTGTACTTTGCTATAAGTATTTAATTACCGATGAAATGTGATACCGTTTGTTTTGTAATTAGATGTTTTACTGTTTTTCCCACACCACCGAATGGAACAGCCCCCATTGTTAGAGATATTATCTTTATTGCAATAAATACAGAATAATTATCACTAGTAACAGGTTTCTTACCACGGTATAACTTCTTTTTATTTTCCCGATATTTCGGAACGGTTGCACGCTCCATGGTCACGGGTTGACTCTTGACTGAAATATCGGGAAAATAAAAAGAAGTTATACCGTGGTAAGAAACCTGTTACTAGTGATAATCATTTAGTGAATAACCACGAAAGTCTTAAAATCTATAAATACAGAATATTTTTGGAATATACAAAGACGTACACACAGGTCAGTTGTTGGCGCGGTACTATTTCAACTTTATAATTTGTGATTTCAGCGTAAACGAGAGTTGATATTTAAAGTTAATATAAGGTCCATTTACCTGATGAGTTGCCAGGGATGGATGGCCCTTATTTCGTCTATATTTCTGGTTATACACTTGATGGGTGTGAATTATAAATGTGCCAGAAATTCATATTAATTATCTGACCTCGAACTAGGAAATTTCATGTACTATGAGTACCAGATTGCACAACTTAGGGCCCATTCACAACAAATAATTCATTCATTATATATACATATATATAAAGCTCTTAGAACTCACTGATAGAAATTAAACGCATACTTCCCGATATGGTGGAAAAAAGATATTTATACCGTTATACGTTGTAGACAGTCGTCAATTGTTTCGAATTCGGGCAGACCAATCGGAACGCAGTTCTCACCGTAATGATTTGGCAGAATAGTTTTCAAACAAATTAAATGACATTTCGTCTCTGTTTCTGGTTATATAGTTGATGTGTCTAATATTAATCCACTACCCTACGTTCCACTATTGTTGCAAAATTTATTAATTACCTTACCTTATTTTTATTTTATTTTTTTCAAAGATGCGTTCCAATTTACGCTACGTAATGTTTTACAAATTATTTTATTTTAACAATATAACGATTTAAGTCCAAAAGAAAAGTTTCATTTCCTACGTGTAACAATCGCAAAAAATGTTGTTTTGCAGGAGGAGCGCAAACGCGAGAAGATGGAGAACAACCTGGCCCGCCAGCGCATCCTGGAGCAGATCGCCCAGGACCGGGCGGAGCGACGGGCGCGGGACCAGCCGCAGCCGCAGCACAGCGCCGCGCCGCAGCCCCGTCAGTACATACGAAGTTTTTTTCATAGTTTTCTCACAGATGGCGCTACGGTAAAAAGTCGTCGTCGCCGATCTGCAACAAGCACATAGAAAAATTCGTAATTCATTCCGTGATTTAGTTGGCATAGCGTCTATCACGGCTTACTGGGGAGACATCTCTGTATTAATAATTATAATAAACTAGTGTAGTAATCTCACAAACATGAATGTGGTCAAACATTGTGACTTATTGAGATGGTAAACTCATCAAACAGTTATGTCTAATCATCGAGGGTATAACCAGAAATAGAGACGAAATAAGGGCCATTCATCAAATTCATAAAATAAATTGTGATTAAATGATTATCACTAGTATCAGGTTTCTTACCACGGTATGACTTCTTTTTATTTTCCCGATATTTCGGAACGGTTGCACGCTCCATGGCCACGGGTTGACTGGACGGCGGCAGATGACAGCTTTAGGAGCAGACATATCTGTCTGTATTATATATAAAAATAAAAACAAAAAAAACATAAAAACACCTCGAGTTCAGTTTCGCGTGTGGATACAGTGAGTGTGGTTTGTGTGAAAAAAGTGAGTGACAATGGTAACGCCACAACAAATCGCGGTGAAGGTAGTCGTCGACAGCGCAAGAGGGTAGACAGATATGTCTGCTCTTAAAGCTGTCATCTGCCGCCGTCCAGTAATGAAAATAAAAAGAAGTCATACCGTGGTAAGAAACCTGATACTAGTGACAATCATTTAGTGATAACCACGAAAGTCTTAAAATCTACATAAATTGTGGTTGTTCATCTAACCGATTTCTAGGATTTTATAATACTCTGTGTTAGTAACGGGGTTTGCCGAATAAAACTGAGATATGCTAAAGTCACGTGTTATGCTCATTTCCGTGAATTCAAAACTTTAAAACGCTCCCCTGTAAACTTGGCAATTTCGACATACGATGCTTTACGTAGGAGGGGTCGAAATGTTAAATGCACTCAAATGTATAATTACAAAGATCAACCCTAGAGTTTCTTGCTAATTCTTCTCAGGGGAATCTGCCTTACGAATGAGCCGTAGAGTTTAATCAGTATGACGATTTCAAGTGTAACATTTTGTGTACTTGCAGGGGTAGGCGACGCTGGCACACATGCACGCATCCAGTTCAAGATGCCGGACGGCACGTCGCACACGGCGCACTTCGAAGCTGACGGCACCCTGGCCACAGTGCACCAGTACGTCGCCGATAACTTGCAGGTGAGGTTCTGGTGCGGGAAGTCGCCAACCCGCATTACGTCAGCGTGGTGGACTTTGGCATAGACAAAGATTCGCGCGAAGCGTTACGCTTCCGCATTTATACGGACAGGTATGAATTTCTTGTCTGCAGACTTCAAGGCGATGTATGTATGTTACTAAACACTTTATTGTACAACAAAACAAATAACGAATTTTTAACAAAGAAATAAAACACAATTGAAAGGAAAGTTGGCTCCTGTGTCGGCAATAAAATCTAAAAAATCATGAAATTGAATGCTACATACTCTTATTGAGTATGTAGCATTAGAATAATAAATTACAATGATATACTTTATATGTTTTTTTAATTTTGTTATGATATACTTTCATAGATTTCTCATAGATGGCGCTACGGTTAAAAAGTCGTTGAAAAACCAAATACAAAGACTTGACAACAAGCACATAGAAAAATTCGTGAGGTCCGCTCGTTCGTTCCGTGGCTTAGTTGGTATAGCGTCTGGCACGGTATGCTACAAGATATCGGTTCGAATCCGGCCGGATCGAAGGAATTTTTTCTGAGTGTTCGATCTTTGTATTAATAATTATAACAAAATAAAACGAGACACATAAAATTGGAAATATATAATAAAAGATTACCTAGTTTTATAATAATTTAAGTTTACATATCGTGCAGGAGTTAAGACTAATTCTCCGCGAACACATCAGCAATCTGGTTGTGCGCTAGGAACTCATTCATCATAATAATGGCCCTGGTGGTTGGCGCATTGCAACCCTGTATAGTGCGCGCTCTGGTGACAGCAAAAACGACGCCGTCCGACCATCACAGAAACAACCAAGATCTAAAGGGCACCTGCATTTGCATTTTTTAATATTGAATCATCATTCACTTTGTGAACCCAATTCACGCCCATCATTTGGTTTTTTATCCTCAGTTAACACGTTCGAACTTTTCCCTATGGACGGCGTTCCCTCGCCGTGAGCTAACGGACACTGAAGCAACTCTTCGTCGGCTGCAACTGACGCCATCCGCCGCGTTACTGGTCTTGCCACGGCGGATCCCTACAACAGTGGCCAGCCCTTCGACTTTTGCCACATTTATTAGTAAGTTAATTAATCGATAAAGAACCCTACAACGAAAGCTATAGCATAGCAGTGATCCAAATTGGTGGACTATATTTGCCTTAACTTTGAGGAACAGAGACAGAAAAGGGATATTTATCTAAATTTTGAAATCACCGAATTTTCGGAATGCTTAGAAATAATTCGACAAAATTGTTTTACTAAATACATACATGTGTTATTTATAGTAATATATCTATATACTATTATAAAACTGAATTTAAAATTCATGTAACAAACAAGTGTAATACTAGGCGAACCCGAACTATCATAGTAAAAGCACAAATAGACATTTCTTGCCAATTATATTCAATAGATTAGATTTAGTCAGACGCAGAGAATAGTTAAGTAAATTCACTTTGAAGAAAATTTTAAATTTAATTACCGATGAAATGTGATTCCGTTTGTTTTGTAATTAGATGTTTTGCTGTTTTTCCCACATCACCGAATTGAACAGCCCCCATTGATAGAGAGATTATCTTTACTACAATAAATACAGAATATTTTTGGGACATACGGAGATGTAACACAGGTTGTGATTTCAGCGCAAAGGAGAGTTGATATTTAAAAGTGATATAAGGCCCATTAGCCTGATGAGTTGCCAGGGATGGATGGCCCTTAATTCGTCTCTGTTTCTGGTTATATACGCGACGGGTACACTTATAATTATTATCCTAATTGTCTTACAGCAATTTTAACTTTTCACTTTTGACGTAGTCTTAAAACTGAAAACTTTTTTTACAGCTTTCATTACTCAACTATTTACATCCTTCATACTGGAACCTTCACAGCAACTGTATAACTGGATCAGGGTACGCTTATTCCCCCCCTCTGAGCCCTCCAACTCTCGTCCGATAACTCCCTCCGGGGGTGCAACGGGTGGCACCACTGGCGGTAGCAACGTTAGAAGACGGGGTAACGTACACAGACTTGGAGAAGAAAGATCTGGAGATGACGACAATAACACATGGAACGGGAATTCTACGCAGCAAATGTAGAAAATATCATTTATAAGTTACCCCCCTTCGGGGGTTGAGTTAAACCTTTTCAAGGTGAATACTCAGGGAGTGAAAAGGAGTAAAGTAAAATGTTTTGTTTTTATCACCTTCAAGTCGATCATCATTGAAATATTCCAAATACACCGCGTCAAAATAATCACTGGAAACAAGTGTAACCTACAAAATGGTGATTTGTACCCTATTCACCTATTTGACACATTGTCAAAATTCGTTGTTTTAAATCTGAACCTTATATTACTTACAGTTCATAATTCATGTACAGTAAACAACACATTATTGGTGACATCAAATGCATTTTATGTCTTCTAGTCATTGACTTACAATTATATGGACGTCGGGTCCGCGCTAAAAAGTGTCCGCACTTGTAAGGCGCTAAAATCGTATACAGAGCGCGACACTCCGCTTTAGTCTTCATTTGTTCTACGGACAGCGCGATACTGCGATGACATAACAATTTAAATTTGGAATAGGTTGACTTGGGACATTTTTTTCGTGGTTTTTGTATTAGACCCGTCGTCCATTTATTTGTAAGTCAATGCTTCTAGTTATATAATTTTTGCGCAAAAGCTAACACGTCTTGTAGAAAGTACCTAAATCGATGTGTACTTGGCAATTAGTTAATGTAAAATTAGGAAATGAAACTATTTTTCTGGATGTAAATCGCGTATGTTTGTTTTTTCAAACAAATCTTTATTTACATTTCCTATGTGTAACAATCGCGAAAACCTAAGAACTCGATAATATAAAGTTAATCATTCAGTACTTACTTACTCCGCTGGCTCGGCGACCCAAAATGTGTCCTGGCCTCCGAAACGAGATGATGCCACTTTCTTCGGTCCTGTGCAATTTCTCGCCAAGTGGTCTGCCTCCAGCAATACCTGTGACGACCAACCGGTCTTCGTCCAGTAGGTCGACCCAGATAGACTCTCTTCACATTCCGATCCTCTCCCATCCTTTTTAAATAGTCGAGCCAGCGAAGTCTGTGCGCTTTGGTTTAGACTCTCCAGCTACCGTTCTCCCGTTGGACTGGCCCTAATATTTTCCTGAAAACCTTTCTCTCAGCCACCAGGAGTTTGTTCTCTTCTTTAAGTGTGAGTAACCAAGCCTCACAACATCACGCAAGAATGGACCTTATGACGGTCTTGTAGGTCCGAATTCTGTGTAGAGCTGCACTACATCGTAGGGTGGATGCGGATGTCTATATCCTCCTCCCTAGTGTTGGTATCTGTTTTAGCGCAGCGTAGGCACTTGAACTTGAAAAATTACACCTTTGCTGACGCCGTCTCCAACATAAACATCTTCACTACTATTATTTATTTATATTCCGTTTTCTCGTGGCTAATCATTATTCAATACCACTAACTTATCTGCGTTAATGGCCACAATAGTTACTAACTCTCTCAGGTTCGAAAACTGTCAAACAAAACTGTCACTTGCTTATTATTCCTAGCAACATTGCAAAGCCACTAGCAACACGTCTTTTTTTCTTGTAAACTGACTAATGTGTGCAAAAGAGACAGAAAACATTTCTCGTGCTACGCAACAACTTCGCCACTTTGACCTTTTAAAGATTCACCAAAAAAACTACACGTCACCTCCTTCTCCTTCGTTCCTTGTTATTGAATACGTTATTGTTACACTTCACCAGTTGAAACATAAATAAGTCTTGTTGGATGTAGTACTTGGCAAGTTCATTATGGAACTAAGACCTCTATGATGGCAACCCCATTGGTGTGAAAGAGTTTTGAAAAGAAGAACGACCAACTAACGCAGTGCGGCCACAAGAGTAACATTATCTCAAAAATCTTGTACGGAATTAGTATGGAGCTTGGGACTTTATTCCCAGAAAAATTAACCAGCTTCAAATTTTTTGCTACATATAATCTTGAAATAAACAGCTTAGCTAAATAATAAAAAAAATATGACCTGCATTTTTTATTTATTTATTTAAAACAAAAGCATGGTAGACATGTTAAATTAATTACCAGCAACACTGCGATACTAAAAAAAAGTTCAAAAAGCAGCAACACTTAAACGGTAAAATATTCAAAATCTTATTTCTAATTGGCTAATTAAATTGCAACAAGAATGACATTGACATCTGATCTGTCAATATTTTTTATGGCATTGGCCACTGGCCTTTGGCCAAAAAATTACATAACAATCCGTTCCGTTTTACTTTACGTAGTATTAAATATCCCTAACGATTTTCTGGCAATTGCAGGTTAAAAATAATTTGTTTTTAATTCAGACTTTCTAGATTTTGAGAGCTTTTTACAAAAAACAACTAATAGTCTGGTTAAATTTCCAGTTATTTTGGCACCACTAAAGGAACAACTTCTTTGAAAGCAAACATAGTTGTAAAGTCCTTAATTGTCGTCATCTCTGAATTGGATGGCTAAAATGTTTCTCTTGGCAGAAAAGTTTTTATGTCAAAACTCCTATTTATTTATTATTATTATTATTATTGGTTTTATTATATCAAATAACGGGACGAAGAACTGAAGAGGATTGCCACGACGCCCGTCACTCTTAGACACAAAGCTGACAAGTCCCTTGTAGTTTCAGCAGTACTCTTACCCTTCAAAACCGTAACGCAGTAATTGCTTGCTTGTGTTACTGCTTGGCGGCAGAAATAGGTAAGGTACTACTTCCCTGGACGAGCCCTTTCACAACCAGCTCTCCTGCTACTAAAATAATCTCAAAAAAGTGATAATTCATCACAAAATTCTGAGAAATTTTACGACAAGAAAAAACTTATTAGCCACCAAATTGATGACAATGATATTTCCTCTCAAATATGAGATAAGTACGTAATTTTTACGGCGCAGTAGGGTTTATTATTGTATGGGATATGGTTCTTTAATGTTGTGTTTTCTTAACCTCTTACACATTTGAATATTTAAAAGTGTACCATATTTACGGTTCTGTTATTTAAATAGAAAGCCAGAACCTTTATGAAACCATTTGTATCTTAACTATAATCTGTCTTTTTCGAAGATGGAGTAAAAAACTTGCGGAAAAGTGTTGCCCTTCATCATCAACTATCGACTGAGTGTTGGTGATGTTATTTGAATCATCGGCCCAATATTCATCCAACTGCTGGTCACAGTAAGTTCATGTATACACTGCATTTAGAACTGTGTCTATTAAAAATACAAGGTTAAGACATATTTTAAAGTTTTTTTTAATGTTAATTTAATACAAATAATCAAATATTCCTGTTTTTATTAAATTGTATATGATATCTATCTATAAATATCGATTTTAATGCTAGTAGGCCAATAGTAAGCAATAACCCATATAATAATCATAAGAATGTCGTAACATATACAATTAAGACATATTCGGCAATATTTTACTAAACGTTTAAACATTATAGCTTTTTTTAAAAAACGTGCTTTTTTGACGCTATTCACTTAAAAGCTTTTTAGTTTGAAGCTTAAAAAATCGTTTAGAAAAACATTTAAGCGCACAGACTTTTATGTTAGAAACAGCTTACAATGTTATGTTGATAGCGAAAAGCAAGAGTAGACCACTAAACGTTAAGTAAGTTTAATTGTAAAACACGAGTTTTATTTATATTTATAAAATTATTATACACGTTGACGAAATAATTTGTTTAGGAAACATAAATGGTGGGACTTGAAACATAAGCAAGTTGTAAAAATTATATTGTTGAGTACAGAACTGACCCAACACTTACGCTTAAAATAAAAAGCGTGCTTAAGTTATTATTTTAAAAAGCAAACTTTTTTGAAATGCTTTCCGTTTAAACGCCCACTTCTACTCACAATCTATCGATAAAACTGTCGACAACATGTACATGGCTATTTAAAATTTTATGGAAACTGGCAACCCCGCAAATGTTATTTTACTTCGTTTTCAAAAAAGACGTACTCCAAGTGCTGTAACTGATATTTTTCTTGTAATTAAGGCGTGAGAGACTTAGCATTCAAAATCGAACATTCAACTTGAAGATAACTAATTCATTTAACGAATTTGAGACGACTTACAACTACTTAAGATGTAGTGTTAAACCAATACTAACTGAACCATTTGCCTAATTCTACTTACCACTATTAGTCAAGTGACCGATGATGTATTTATAATCTCCAGGCAGTTTTTTTTAACTATAAAGTTTAAATAACTTAAGGAAGTTTGTCTGACTGAACACAGTATATTTTATTACCACATCTACATTTAAAAATGTAGTAATAAAAGATATTTAATTTTATCATATGTAACTAATAATGAACATTGTATTAATTGCATAATCCGTTACATTGTATGTTTGGGTAAATAAAGTAAATAATAATTGTGTAGGAAAAATTTTTAGTTAGAAACAAAATTGGAGAATGAGAATTTTTTTATTATTATTATTAATTCGACCCTGTCTAAGTAACGTGACTATTATATACAGGATGCTAAAATAATTTTTAAGCCAATTTTATGTTTTCATCACAACCTTTAATTTTGAACTTATATCTTAAAGCAACAGCGGTACGTAGCGGTCATGCGGAGCTTTGTTTTTTTTTCTTAATTAAGTTTCATTAACAGTTGTTACATGCAATACGGATTCCATTTCACATAGGCAAAAGTCTAACTAGATGCGCAACTTTTTAGAGATGGAATACAGCTTGCACTGAATAATCTTTATCTTTAAGGTTAATAAGAAAACAATACAAAACAGAGAGAGAAAAAATACAATAGATAAATAATAAATAAATAAATTATAAAGTTGGCATGAACACGCGTGCTGGCTAAAAATTGTTAGTAAGTCCGAGAATATATCAACGGCTGCGCTATATTCTTGTCAACCACTGGCGTTTAAGCGCTGGATCACATTTTTATTATAAACAAAAGAATGTAATTATCACAAAAAAATGTAAGCCTCTTACAAAACGTACTATTACTAAAAAAATACAATACATTGTATGCCTTATTGCTTTTCTAATAGTATATATATCAAAAGTAATAATAATTATAACCGGTCTTAACATAGTCTAAAAACTTCATTTAAGTATATGTTCTTTACGTAAAATGTGTTCTATATTTTAACACCCTGTATAAGAGTAACGTCTTAATCGCTTTAATTAAAAAGGTTCGGTTTTTTAAAGTTTCATTTTTTTTAAATTACAAATCAAATTCCATTATATTAAATAAAATATTTTAACGTTAAGTTACAAAGAAATAACATGGAAAATAATTTTAAAAAAAATCCGCCGCCATGGTGCAAAATTTTAATATTAAAATATATATACAATCTTCGGGGCTATTTAAGGTTTACGGAAAATATA